GACTGTTAAATGGATGATGCGTCTCCACTTGGTTTCACTGTAGAAAAGTGAAGCCAAAATGTCCCAGGAATGGCCATTGTCATCATGCGCCAATGATGTCATTTGGAGCCTGAGTTTGCATAGTAGTGCGCATAAATTTGGCTCACGTCCCGTTCATTTACATGGAGAGTGTGGTATTTATGACCTGTACCACCAGTGGGAAACCAAAATGTTTTGGCTTTACTTTTCAGGATGTGTGTGGCACACTTGATGTCAGCATCTTGTGAAGTGTGATGTAAACACTTTGTGAAACTTGTGCATGAGAAGTGATGTGGAAGCGCAAAGGACTGTCACTTCTCTTGCAAGTTTCACAACAGGATTACATCATGCTTTATAGTTTATGGCTTAAAAAGTTTTAAATATTGGTGTTTTTCTCACCCACCTATTGTTTCACTTCAGTAGACATTTGATTCATCAACTAGGGTCGTATGGATTACTGCATGGTTTTTTAAGTGTTAACTTTGATGGTCCAATCTAACAGAGATGGATCATTTTTCTAAAAAGCTGTTTGTGTTCCACAGAAGAAAGTCACACATCTGGGACAGTATGAGGGTGAGTAAATGATAGATGAATTTTCTTTTTTTGGGTGGTGTGTCCCTTCAGACAACATGACGGCATTCCTAACAGTGTTAACTTTCAAATGTGATCCATTTGTGGTGGAAATAAAATATTCAGTGGTAAAACAATGTTGAGAAAATATTTTATTCTTTAGGGATTAGGATGTTCATAAAAACTTTGTCAGACTAAGGTGAGAAAGTGGTTATTTTTTCCCAGCAGTTTCATCAGCAGAAAAGTTGTTTCATTTGCTGGGAAAGTTGTTCCTGTGATCGATTTTGATGGAAAAACCGTTGCTCAGTGAACTTTTGTGAGAGATGGACCTTTAGTGGTGAAGACATTTAATTTGTCAAAAATTCATAGCTAATAATTAAATCACAAAAATGTTAAATTAAAATCAATCAAAATAAAATGCTTACTAAAATTTTTTTTATTTTATTTGTTTACCTGCATGTCATGTGGCCATAACCAACGTCAGAGAACCGAGAACATGCAAATGTGATATTTAATTATTACAATTATTTATTTTAAAATCTCAGGGGTATTTCAAGTAATTATATTTAGTGAAAGAGGATCAAATGACAAAAACGTTTGTGAATTTGTGCATTTTAATGTGTTTGAAAGACAATAGACCTTCCAAAGATATATAGAAATACATGTTTAAATAACCTGCAGAGTGATAATTCAAATAAAACTAGTGTGTTCATCAGTAGTTTATGCATTGTTGAAACACTTCTTAAACCTGAAATGATTTTTGTAAATCCAGTGGTCAAATGCTGTGTAGCACCTGACTAATGACTGGTCTCTGTGTGAATGTCCACAAAACTGGAAGACTTTCTGAGTGTATGTAAGTGGTAGGCTATTTTAGAAAGGAACATTTAAAAGATGAAAAAGACAAATTAGGGAGAATCAATAAATTGTGAATAATGTGTTGCTATTGTGTAAATATGTAATCCATAAAAAATAACTAGTCTGATTACGAGTATTTTAAAATGTTTGGAATCTGATTACGTAATCCAGATCAGTTACTACCCAGCTCTGTTTACTAGCTAACTTTGGATGTTTTTGTCATCATTATTCCTGAATCATTCATCATATTTTGTCAAATCTGTCCTTTGCTTTATTTCACCTGGCAATTTTGACGAGCAGCAGTAAATATCACCGTACCTTTATTGTCAAGCCCTGCCTTCTGTTTTCAGCTTTGTTGCCATTCTTTAATGCACTTCAGTGTACTGAAAGTCTGTGTTTTCTTGATATCAGATTAGGGTCCACCATCACATGGTGGCTTCAGATCATCTATTGATAGGTGACATACATTCATCAGTTTATCCTCTCCCTCTAACTTTCTGTCCCCTGTTGTCTTCTGCCCCTGTCCAAATGGTCCCATCAGCCCTTACTTTCCTCCTGTGCCATTTGGGACTGGGTCTTCATCACTCTATCATCACTGTAAATGTAGGCCACTCTGTCTGAACTTGTTTTTATTGAACTTTTTAATGCACACACAGACCTTTGACATGGTTTCTCTTGCAAACAGGACCTTGAGTGTGGTTCAATGTCACGGTCAAAGGTTCTACTTTGTATTATTTCATCATCAAGGTTGAAAGCGTTTTACTGTCATCCGATATAAGTTTTGTGTTTATGTGTCTGCGGCAGAGGTGTGTTATGAATAATAAGTGAGTTAGTAACTTTCCAGAGAAATCTGTGATTCTTTCACATTATTGTTTAGGAGCGGATGTGTTCAGTTCATGTCGTCTAGTCCAGTCAGTGGTTTTCAAACTTCATCAGCTCATTAGGAAAGAGCTCCATGAACTCAAATGAGTGTGTCAGATAAGGGAGACATGCAAAATGTGCAGAGCAGTGGGTCCCGAGGAACAGGATTGAAAACCACTGGTCTAGTCTGTGCTGCTTACAGCAAACCAAATTAGGTATTTTCTCAAACATGTTTTATTATATCACTTGCACAAATGAAGTGCAATAAAATGTTCTCTCAAGGAAAACACATTTTCCTTGATTTTTGTTTGTCATCTCATTTCAAAGCATCTTGTATTTCAACCTTGGTAAAAGTTTGTTAATTTTTCAATGGTTTATGATTATTGCAAATGTTTGATTATGATTAACTTTTTTTATATTTTAAAAATCTGCCCCCGAAGATAAAAGTGCCAGTAGTCAAAGAAACATTAAATTGTGAAAATCTTTCCACAGGCTTTGATTTTTATTTTGTGCTTTAGAGACTTGCACAGTAGTACAAGTACCAGTTTCTTCTCTTTATCACAAAATGATATACATGCTCATACATTTGTTTTACCTTGTCCTGAGGTTTGCTGGCATTGCTTTTGGCCACCCCTAGAGGGCAGACTTGTAAAGAGATTTGAGACACACACACACACACACACACTGTTGGATCAGTCTGAACTTATTCTTCTCGTTCTCATGCCACTAAAAACTTATGCAACACTATTAATTTGTTGGGTGCTAGATATCAAAGGGTCTTTATGCCAGAAATGGGTAACACTGTGGTAACACTAACATAAAAAGACATTAAGAGATTATTTAATAACAATCTATGCGCATATGTTTTGTCTGCTCGCACATTAAGAAACTGAAACATCACATGGCTTGCCTGACATGTTCACACGGAGCTTAAGGGTGTGAGCGTTTCCTGTGAATCCTGAGCGTTTCCTTTTCTGTTCTGTCACTTTGAGATATGAGTCTTGTGAACGAATGAGGTTATATCAGGCCACTTTTGGATCAGAGTACTTTCTGTATGGTGTTGAGGTCATTTGCTCCTGTCTGCCCTCCTGGTGGCGCTGTGGAAGTTTTGTATTTTGAGAGGCTCTTAACTAGGACCGACTTGTCCTTCACTGACTCTTCAGAAGAGCTTTTAAAACAAACTTTTACAGTTTTTAATTACAAAATACATATACTCTCTCCTGTTCAAAGGTGTGGGGGGTTGCTAAAATATAATAAATGTGTGTATATATATGAATGTATGTGTGTGTATGAGTATAATGGTATTATCATGTGATACCATTACTTTAAGGTTGTAATTGTAAATGTAAATGTACTGGCACTTTTAAAATATAAAAAAATTGTAGTGCAACAATCGTGAACCATTTCAATATTGTTGAATAATTAAAAAAACCTTTACCAAGGTAGACATATGAGATGCTTTGAAATTAGAAAATGTGTGCATATTAGGAGTCATCCATGCCCATCAATTTTACAGTTTTTAATTACAAAATACATATACTCTCTCCTGTTCAAAGGTGTGTGGGGTTGCTAAAATATAATAAATGTGTATATATATATGAATGTATGTGTGTGTATGAGTATAATGGTATTATCATGTGATACCATTACTTTAAGGTTGTAAATGTAAATGTACTGGCATTTTAAAATATAAAAAAATTGTAGTGCAACAATCGTGAACCATTTCAATATTGTTGAATAATTAAAAAAACCTTTACCAAGGTAGACATATGAGATGCTTTGAAATTAGAAAATGTGTGCATATTAGGAGTCATCCATGCCCATCAGCTCCATGCTCTTCCGAAGAGTCAGTTTATTGTATTGAATGGAGGCTCAGACAGCAAGTTAGTGTCAGTGTTACGATGTCCATTGTCAGCGAAAGCAGCCTGCTCATTTGAATATGTTACAGTGAGTCAGCAGAAAGGCCTGCCATATGCAAAATGCTTCCCAACACAAACATTTCCATTGATTTACCTCAGGACACCTTAGATTTTGCCCAGCCAACTAGAAAACTCAAATATTTCTCTTGTATCTCTGTATAAATGTGCTCATATGCTTTTTATTTGTCCATATAGTCTTTATGTGAGTGTTTGTGTTTTTACCAGAGTAAAGTTTGACAAACATGTCAGTCTGCAGTTAACAGATCAAAACATGCCACATAAACTGGTTCACCCACTGCCCTGCTGTAAACTGGAAGTGAAACCATCAGTGTGTGTGGGCGGGAGACATTTCAACTGTTTGACAGCATGCCTTCTGAGGTATTATTATGTCCTTTTTTTTCATCCAGTGGAAGGGAAATATGTAAGGGAAGTTATAGATATAATTGTGTGCGTAAGAGGGGAACGTGAAGAGCAGCTCTAGTTTTAAACCTGATAAAACTTATCAGAGCGCAGCAGCGCGCTGAAGACGCCACGCCTTCTCACTTTTTGTTATGCACTCCCCAGCTATCACAGACAGATGAGTCTTCCTCCCTCCCTTCTTTTAGAAAGGAGAAACGTCTGGGCGTGGTTGGTAGCAGCTGTGTTTTGATTGGATGCTCTCCCAGGCGTACATTATCTCCCGTTGGACACGTCCTTGCTCCCCCCAGATAACACACTCGAGCTGAAAGGCTCCGCCTACTGTTGTCAAATCATCACATCAAAGTGTTCAGTCCATCCTGCATGAACAGACAGGTAGTAAGGTTGGTCTCTGGCTGTGTGAATGCTCAAGTGAACTTTAGGTTCGCTTTGCTAAGTGCTCAAAGCTGGCCTGTGGCATGTGGAGTGCGGGCAGGTGAAAAAACTCAGCGGCTGGATCTACAGGTGCTCACTTGTACCTCGTCTTGGATCTACGGTCGACAGCTTCTGCATTACAGTGAGAGATCATCTCCACTTCATCTGGGTGCTTGTGTGTGTATATAGACACTTCTAGTTTTAACTGACACGACAAAGAGGAACCTGTGGTGAAGTCCAAGTTTGACTAGCTGTGGTTTTCCTTGGGTGGAGGAGCTGTTCTGCGGTCGTCTCTCTGGTCACAGACGGCCTGATTCCTCAGAGGTGATGGTGGGTGGCAGGGCCGTCACTGTGCGCCCGCACAGGCGCCTGGAGTGAAAGTGTCACAGTGCAAACATGGAATTCCTCAAGAGCCTTGTTCCCACGGTCATCTCCGGGGATGGCGGGCTGCCGGCGACGGACGTGGGGGGAGTGTGGCCGCGGGAGACCGGCCCTCGCTTGCTGAGGATGAAGAGGCTGGTTTCACAGGCCAATGAAGAGGAGCATGATGGATCCAGTCTGTCTAGCAGGCCGGCTGTCCGTCTTCAACGACATCGTGCCAAAGGTACTGTCAGGAAAGAGGAAGGGATGGGTATTCAAACAGGATTTTAACTGTGTTGCAGAGAGGAGACTGTTTGATTAGGAGGTGTGTGTGCAAGGTGTGTGTTTGCACCATTTTTGTTTATTCAGCTGTGATAGAAGATAAATCGCAGACAAGAGGGAATATGCAAATACTTTGTGTAACCAAACTGTTTGCGAAGTTGGTCATCAGTGAGAATTATTCAAATATTGAGAGTTGCTATAAAACCAGGAACTTTAAAGTATTCTATGCAATACAAATGCAGAAAGGGAGCAGTATTGTCATGAATAAAATAATCTCATCACTCTGAGTTTATTGGCACTGAACCAGGTTGGTATTGTTTTGAAACATGACTACAATGATGTATTTGTCAAAGTGAGTTATTGTTAGCATCGCTATTTCCAACCTTGAGCTATGACAGCAAGACTCAAAATAATGTGTTAATCATGAAGACGCCATATCTGAGGGTTTTAACACTTACGTTACCAGTCAAAATTAAAGGCGTTAGTAATAACATTATTATTATTAATGATTATTATTACTATTATTAACAAAAAATTATACTTTATTTTGGCAAGAACATATTAAATTGATTAAAAGTGACAGTTTATAATATGAAAGATTTTTATCAAAATATGTCTCTATCAAGCACAACTGTTTTCGATTGATGATAAAAAATGTTTGAGCATCAGCATATAAGAATTATTTCTGAAGGATCATGTGACACTGAAGACTATAGTAATGGCTGCTCAAAATTCAGCCATAACAGGAATAAATTACATTTGAAAATATATTCAAATAGAGGCAATGCTATTTTTAATTGTAATGATATATCACAACATTACAGTGTTTACTGTATTTTTGGTCCGATAAATGCAGCTTTGGTGAGCATAAGAGACTTTTTTCAAAAACATAAAATATGGGACTGACTCTAAACTTCTGAACGGTAGTGTATGTAGACTAAAGATAATGTCAAGCCGGCACTGCTAACTGGAGAAATACAATGCTCTTCAGATCAAAATCGACTCTTAAAGTGCCCAATTTGGTTATGGATTTATTGGCGCATATTATTTAAAAGAAATAATGACTAATCTTTCATGAAATGAAATAAAATGCGTCTGTCACCAGGCTCTTCCCACTAACCAACATGCGTCACGCATATAGACTGCTTTTAATGATCCATTCATCTAGTCAATTCCCAATGGATATAGTTACACCCTAATTCTTTCCTGTCGCATGTCCAGTTTAATTTGGAAATCTGTCAGATTATGAAGTGAATTTTTAGGCCGATGTACTAAAAAGAAAAACAAAGTTGACCCCGGGTGCTTGTGTGAAAGTTAAGGAAGTCTTTGTTTTGTGAAAAGAGACTGATTGTTAAGTTTTATACGGTTCTGCATTTAATCAGGCAATACAGTGTTTGTTGACACACTCATAACTTGGCTGCTGGAAGCAGATGAATGCGTTTGTGATCATAAATGAATTGAAGCTTCAGCAGCACATCTCCCCGACAGGGTCATATGGGGATAAATGAGGATCTTTGTGTGTCATTCATGGCTGATCCAACTACGACCACTCTTCTTGGTATGTCAGTTCCTTGGTTACAAGCAAACAGTGTGGGGAGTGTGATGTTGCATCACTGCATGTGACTCTGCATTCAAAATGCTAATTGTCCACCACGCATTCAAATATGATGGAAAACACCAGTTCAAACTGGACCAAGAGTTTTTTTCTGTGTCCTTCGAAAGTTGAAGCCTGAGCTTCTCTCAGTATGTGCTGATAAAGTTATAACATGGGTAGTAGTCAGTATGTATGTTTGTTTGTTGGTGTGTACATTGCAGCCAAACCACACCTCGCTCTTCCCAAATTGATGAGTCTTGAGTGTTCAGGTGAGGATTTGGGTTTTAAATGTGCCTGCCAGGACATGCTCATGTTCCCAAATGTGTTTAAATGCTCCACACCAGTCATTCTTATTCAAGTAACTATATATTTTTAAGATATTGCAACTAGATATCACTCAATTTGTTGAATAAATATTTCAATTAATCTGATGTTCTGCATCTCCCCTGTCCCTGTCACTGTCCCACCCACGCTTGGTGCTCTTTTTTTGTTGTTGTCCTTTTTCTCTATCAAATCTTTTAGTAATCATCATAGATTATATATAATTTGAAAGCTTAGAAGCCCAAGATTCATCCTGCGAAATCCATTTTGAAATCGGACATTGCGTTACCATGGAAATGGTACTTTAAAATCTTTTGGTGGTCTCCTCCCCCTTAGTGGGCAGTGTCAAGTGTCATATTACAAAATGCATTACGATCTTTTAGAATCAAACCTTTTTATAATCTTGACAAAAAACATATCATTGGAAAGGTCTGAGTCTCAGGATTAGGCATGGGCCGATTACCGGTTTCAAGGTATACCGCGATTTGAAAATGTCACGATTTCAAAACCGTTAATATTTTCCGTTATACCGTTCCTGCGGTATGCGCTGTTTTTCATGTCTCCTCAAAGACTGAAAGTGCAGGAATCCCTCAGGTTGAGTGCAGTGTAGAGAGTAACATGACCCTTCTCCTGTTGGTGCGAGCGAGCGGTCAATCACTGTGTGTATGATGGCCGAAGGAGCTTCCTCTGGAACTTACGTGATCGGCAACCAGCCGTTTATTGTTTTATTGCAGCCAATCTCTGTTCTGGACTTGCACAAACTGCGTTGCAATGCATATCATTTTCCAAATGTCATTTATGTGAAAATATTAAGTCTGTTAACGTCCGTTAACAGAGGCCAGAGACGCTGAAGACAGACGCACAGAGAAAAATACTGTTGCAGGCAGATCACTCACTGTTCATGAAAGGCGAACTATTGGAAGAAAAACCTAAGTATTGATTTGGGGTTTATATGAATGTGTTTCTGAGGGGAACGGACTGTCTTCAGAAACGTTTAGATGGTATTTTCTTTTCATATCGTATAATTCACATTAAAGCAGTGTTTCAGCGCAGCTCTGTTTTGTTTACTGTGATAACCAAGGAAATGCTGTATCAGCGCCTCCTGCTGTCAGAGAGTGAATCTGCGTCCCATTCAGAGCTTCTGCTGTTTGTTTTGTTCAGGCATGTAGTATAATTTCACAAAACTAGTCAGAACATTCTGTTTTTGCTTCAAATTGGGTTATTATTAAATCAAATTATGTATATGAAATTATAAAATAAATTATATGAAATTATATAAATGATATGTATATGAATGGTATAACTAAAATTAAATAACTGTAATTACAGATTTAGGTTAAATAAAGATGTCAGTCTTTATTTTTCTTCTTTTTAGGACAGCAGTAGCTCTAGCAGCAAATCAATTATCCACATCAAAAGCTGCAGGACAGCCCACATTTCAGAAACAAATCAAAGAAAAAATAAACAAATACTACTGTTCCAAATATTCTGTATGTTGCTCAAAATATATTCTGTTTTTTTTTACCCAGACATTTAAAATTAACACATTTTAGAGCGGTAAGAACAATACCGTGAAACCGTGATATTTTTGCTTAAGGTTATCATACCGTCAAAATCTCATACCGGCCCATGCCTA